AAGAGATCGAGAGAGATGAGATAGGGTTTAAATATTCGCTCAACGGTGTCAATCTTTCTCTCTCTCCCGCGAGTCTTCGCGAGATGATTCGATCCAGTAAAGGCAACACCTCCGTCATTAAAGGTGGAAGATGCTCGTGGACGAGCGAGCACGGCAACCTTTGAGCTTTCTTCGTCGTCCTCGCTCCTTGTGGATTCGAAAGGAGATTCCTTCGTAGTGCCGTCACGGATTTTATACATTCCTGTGCATGTACTGTGCGTTGTAGGAGGCTTCCTTAAAACCGAAAGTGATACGGGAGATTCATCGGCTGTCGGAGAGAAGATAAACGACTGTGCGTACATCGTGTTTCACGGCGTACAGATAGTAAAGGAGAAATTAAATATATGAATGTGTGTGACGCTAAAAATAGAATGCATATTCTGAGAGTGAGAGAGATTTAATATCTAAACAGAATAACTTTGCAAATTATTCAGACACATATTTACAAACAACTTATATGAGACAATATTGTAAAAAGTCACGTGAAAATAAAATTATAATTTATATATTTACGTACATATATATATATATATATATATATATATATATTGATGCACTTTTTATTCTGAATAGTTGCAACATCCGTTTTCAAAGTTAAATTATTATTTTGTCAAGAAAAAACATTGAAAACTGACATTTCATCTGTACATGTCTTTTCGATGTTTATGATATAAATATTTAAAAGTAAAATGTTTTTGTGTTTTTTTATTACATGTTTTTTCATTCTTGTAAAAACGACGTTTCATCGAGAAAGAATGTTGATTTGCCAAACATCACGCAGTATGTATATACGGATATCTGGTTTTATTAATATGTTGTGCCATTACTTTACAAATTAACGCGAGGCACACGTGCCGTATTTGGAGACGTAAGATGATGATTTAAATATTGAACATCTCTCACGTCAGCGTCGATATTATGCAACTTGCTGGCCATGAGCACACTCTGTGATGGCATGAATTAACATGTTCATCGCGCTGGATTATTACACTGTCATTTGTTTTTGCGAGTCTCTATTGTAATTATCAAGATATGATCAATTCTGTTACATTATCCTTCTTTTACGTATATAAAGTTCTTGATTTTAAGCTCGTCAGATTAAATTTTTCTCATATAAAAGTACTCGAAATAATATTAACAAATGTAGCAACTTGTATATCTTCTCTGATGTATCAAGTGCGAATATTTAGATTACTTGAAAATTTTTAAGATATCTTTAGTCATCAAAGTTTACCGAATTGTGTGATTATAGAAAAAAAATTTGAAACCAGCGTAAATGCGCTTGAATAACGCAGCAAAAAAACACGCGGCGGTCAGAGAACTAAAAAGTTTCGCGGCGTCAAAGTATTTTCAAGACGATTGCTTTTTGGAGCAGGAAGTGACGAGGAGCACACAGCTGGCGAAATTTCAGACACCTGGTGGAGGAAGAGTCTTTCTCAGTGGTCTGGTCGCGATCTGGAAGAAGCGACGCGAGGCGGCGGCAAGAAGATGAAAAAAAAAAAAATCGGTGATCTCCCTCTCTCCTTGAATCCCCGGGGTGCGCGGCGTGGACCAGCCGGAAAAGCAGAAGGAAGGGGGTTGCCAAGAGAACCGGATCGGAGAAAGATGCTTTCCAAATGGCTCGCGATTAACACTGGTATGCGGAAGGGTTGTGACGGTACCCGAATCTCTTTTTCATTCCGGTTTTTTAATCCCCTACCCTCCGCGGAGAGGGGCGGTTACGGAAGTCCCGTTAGGTCCAGCTCGTCGGCAAGCTGCCCCTTGAGCGGTGGCGCGGTTACGGCGTTCCGTTTTTTTTTTCTTCTTCCTCCCATTTCTCCCGCTTCTTCACAACCCTCGTCTAACTGTGGTCCATGTAATCTACGCGCGGCTTCCGCGTTTCGAAGACCGGGATCGTTTCCGATAGATTCGACAGATTCGTTCTCACAGTCTTCGATGACGAAAGTACCGCTTTTCCAATAGACAAAGAAAGTTCAAGGTTAAAAATATAATTCTTCACGCACAAGTTTTATATATCTATTTCTTTTCTAATCATTACTGTAATTTCTCTCTTGTTAAATTCACAAGAAAAATATTTCTCTCAATGAGGCCTCAAACATCATTTACATCGCAAATTGATAAACTTCAGTTAAATGTTATCGCATCGTGATGTGCACGATGTTAACGTCAAGATAAAACTTTAGAATTGTTAGAAAACAGCGCAAGAAACAGTGCAACAATTAATGTGCGAGAAACTGACGTACCGTATAGCATTCAACAATATACTCGTATCTCGACGTGTATGGGAAATCATGTTTTATTGTTGTTGTTTTTTCACTGTTATGTTACGAGGACGAAATGTAAAGATTACATTAGAGAGTTCAGCACAATTGCGCAAAGAATAGTTTCCAATTAACGTTTCCCAGGTTATTGCATTTTGCCGGTTATTCCAAGATTTTATTCAAGTTTGCGTCAAGCGAGTCTGAGATTATAAGGTCACAAGCCACGCGCGCGTTTGCCTTCGATCGACAAATTACATCACGTTACTTTTGAGCACGTGCAACCAACGTACATATTACAATCGTAATTTTGTGCAGTAAAATAATTGCTTGCGATTAATTTTTTTGAAAACTTTTTTTTTCTAAACAAACTCGAAACATTTTTTATACTCGATTAACATCCTGTAAAAACTATGTGGTCACAAATAAATCGACTTGACATAATAAATTGTTGTTGTAATGTATTTCTATTAAAAATTGAGATAAAACATAATAAAAAGTATGCTGTTCAAAAGCGTAAGATAGTGCATAAAAGTTTCTTCAAGAAAGAACTAAAAACAAAAATTTGATTAGATATCATTTGCATATAAATTTTGTTGTTTCTGTTTTGTTTTTATCGTTTTCTTTTATGTATTTCGTTCTTTTATGTTTTACGATGCTTCTCGCTGCGCTATTCGAGATCGTCATCGAGATGGTTTTTCTCTTCACAGAATCCCATAACGGTATCTCTTGGAGAAAAAAAAACAACGAACTTACCTGGGATCTTTAAAAGTATATTATAACACGAAAAAGAGAACAAACGTAGAATAGAAATGCATACGACCATGAACGGGGGAAAAACGGCGATTTAAAGACTATTGATTCATTTTAAGTTCAAGGCAGGAATCGCGTTAATTCAGAGCTCACGACTCGTGTACATATTACACATAAAATCCGCGAGAATATTAATCTAGCGGTTTTGTCTAATCGCGTAACACTATCGGCGGTTTACTTGTTCAGAAATATTTGCAAAAACAACTCAAATAAACATGTAACATTGCGCCGATGTGCGGAGATCCATTAATAAACTGCGAGGCGATCGTTTCTCATCGCAATTGAGAAAAAAGAACTTTATTATCTTGCAATCTTGTAGTTTCTTTGTAAGAAATGCTGCCGGAGTGACCTCGACTTTGGTTGCAACAATCACGCGCCGCATTATTGCACTCGCCGCGGTAATTACGATTTATATACTGACTGTGTACAAGTAAGAATAAAGTAAAAATATCTGCTTAATACGGTAAACTTCAACCGCACGCATTTGTAATTCATCCTTTAGAACGCAACGCTTTTATTAGAAAGAGTTTAATATTCAACACCGTCGATTGCAAAATTACAATTTCAGAATCTATGTTTTTAGCTCGAGAGAGAGTGAGTTTTATTTAATTTACAATGTAATTTTCTTTTTATACACGCGAACGTGTTGCTAAATTGTTGACTTCGCAGTTCCAAAGTGTAACTTTGATTAAATTTAAATGAAAGTTCGTTACTTTAATGAACGTTTTAAATAGTTTTGTGAGTGAAAAAGTTTCATTGCGCGTCACTGGCTGTCGCATCGCGGACATTGATCAAAGGCGCAAAACGCGGATTAATCGATCCCGCGACGCAAACGAAACTCTGCATCTCCGCATCTGGAATACTTCACGGACACCAGGCGTCTACGAAAGGATTAAAGGGAAAGAGAACCGGGCGATTGCCTATAGTAGGATGGTGGGGGCATCGGCAGAAGGGGAAGCAGCAACCCGAGAAGAGAATCCAGTAACCTAGTGCCGAGTCGCCTGGAGGTCTGCAAAAACAAAAGAGATGTGCGTGCCACGTGCCCCATGCGCCGCCGATCCTTCGATATCTTGCGATTAGCGCCGGTGCTCGTAACGACGAAGCGTTTTCTGCGTACAACGTTTCTGAGCCACGAAAAAGATGGGGAGGGGGAGGAAAAAAAATAGAACCACAAACCGTGACAAAAAAGCATGATCGCGATCGTAAATAAAACACATAAAAAAGAAAAACGATAAATTAAAAGACATACAAAAAAAAAAAAACGTTAGCAAAGACTTGGAGTGAGGCTTCGTTTTCTAAAGGTTAAGGCTAACGCTGTGCAATTTAGCTGGTAACCAACGATTACACAGACAAAGTCCATAAATACGTTCCTGACCTATGAAAATATCTTGGTTTCTATAGATAGCCAAGTCAGCCGCATCTCACGGGTGAAATACGATTGCGCTGCCATCGCAATTTGTGCTATACTTACACCGCTTCTTTTATTTCTGACGCAACGTCGCTCGTTCGTATTTCACCGGTGTCACGTTACATTACGCAAAGGTTCGAGTAAAAAGATGCAAGAAATATTTATTTTTAGAAATTATACCGTAAAACACATGAGAGTGAGAGAATCGCGACGTGTGTTTGCTTGCTCGCGAAAAAGTCAAAAAGACGGGGAAGAGGGGGAGAGGGAGCGAAGGAAAGAAGGTCGGAAAAAGATCATCGCGCGCGCAAGAAATGACTCAATCGTAGAAAGTCGAGAAGTCGTTCACGGACGGCGAAATACTTGTATTGCTAATGCAGGATAATTCCTTGAAGGTCGATGTAAAGGAATCGGTGAGAAAGAGAGAGAGAGAGAGAGAGAAAGAAAAAGAAAAAAGAAGGTAACAAGAAGAACTAGTCAACAAGCTTAAAAGGCGTTTCATACTCTTTATTTTTCGTTTCTCTCGCACTTAGTATTTTTATCGTATAAAAAAGAGGAAAAAACAAATAGTTACAATTTTACCTATAAGATTCACACGGGAACAAAAAAGAAAATATTAATTAATTTAAGGGACAGTGTTTTGTTTTCTGTTTGTTTGTTTTTTTTTTTGTTTTTGGAGACTTCCGACTATAACACACCGCAAATTTTAGTCGGGGTGACGTTCAGATATACTTATACGGCGACAATCGGCGGCGATTTAATAATAGAAACTATTGACGCGCTCTTCCGAACGTGACCTCAAGTAACGAACTCATATCGGCCGTACGGATCGTTGCGTTCCAATAGAGAAAGGTCACGAGGATCATGACGAGAAGAGAGAAAGATAGAAAGAGAGAAAAAGAGAGAGAAGAGAGATGTGTACAATGAGTTCTTTCGCTGTCGGACACACGACGTATATCGCCGTCGGCTAGCGAGAGTTTTCCGTTGTTGTTCGAAGTGTCGATAATATTTCTCGAAATAAAAGGTACAAAAATATATTTATTTATATTGTATGTGTATATATATATTATATATATATATATATCTCTTATCTCTTTTTCTTCGCTTCTCCTTCAGTGCCGCTTGTCTCTCGCACACGGATTTGTACTAAAAGAAAACACTCTCATTCTTCTCAGTGCACGCGCGTTCGCTTCTCTCACTCTCTCTAAAACAAAAGAAAAAAAAAACAGACACACCATCTCTTCGACCACCTCCTACATCGCTCTCTCGCTTCCTTACTCGCGAACCTACGCTGCAGAATTCGGCGTTAACGATCAAGAGCCGCGAGAGAAAGAGTCCCGAAACACACTTAACGAGTAACAAGAAAACAAAAATAATATTATTAATAATAATAATAGAATAAAAAGTATGATATAATAATAATACAATTATTTTATAATAAAAATACTATAATAGTGGTAGAAAAAGTGTAATAAAATTATTAGAATAATCATTAGCGAGTATAAAAGGGGAATAGAGACAGAACGAAAACATTTACCTACGTGCTACTCGATCGTGTGGTAATTAAGAGAAATACGGTAACTCGTACACATATATGTGGATGAAAAACACGCGCTCCGGCTTGCCGAGAAGCACGGTTTATGTCTCGGTATGTGTGTATATGTTATATGTTTCTATGTGTTACTCGCGTACTTACGTACGTGTGCTAGAGAGCCGAGCTCGCAATGAGCTCGCGCACCAAGCGAGTCGATGTATGCGAGGAATGCAAAGTACGCGGTCGTCGTAGTTTGAAACGCGCGGATCGCGCATTACAACACACAGAACCGAGAAAGAAGTTATGTGTAACAATGCGCGACCGACGCATGCAACGATCGCTTCCTGATCGCGCGAAGATGCCTGATCGATTTCTTCGCGATCGCGATTCCGAAGCGCGTGGTCGCGCCACGCATCGCGCGAGCGCGAACGATCGGATAATGATTTTCCGGTGTTCGTGTGAGTCTTGTGTGAATGTTGTGTACATGTTTTTTTTTTTCGGAAGTAACCCTTCGACAACTTAATTGCAAATCTATTCGACTTTTATTGAAAAAAAAAAATATATATATATATGTATGTTATAATGTGAGAGAATTATGTTATGTATGTATATTCGCAATTTATACGAAATTATTAAAATTAGTATGATGCTAAATTGTGTTGATTCAGCTTTGGATCGATCTTGTCAAATACATCCCATCCAACAGATGCCGTTTTATTATCAGAGATTTGTTCATACGAGGATGTCTTCTTCGACGAAAAAAAAAAAAAAAGTAACGCGTGTTGCGCGTTGAGAAGGAGCAAAAACGAAGTACGTGTTTGAAATTCTCGATAATTCCAGTAATGAGCAGCAATCAATATTACATCAAAATTAAATCGTCATTTATAATTTGACATTTGTTTTATTTCTTTGAAAATTACTATTGTTGTCAAAGTAGTTAATATGCTCTTCTCTGTTTTTAAACGCGATGTATGTAATTAGCATCGCAAACAGTTTATAGCGGATCTGTGTGATCAATACGCACACATACATACACGCACACGCACACACACACACACACACACACACGCGATGTAACGTTTCTTCTAAATTTACCTGCATAATTCTCGTCGGTTTATACAATACAAATATACTACGTGGCTAAAAGTAGAAACAATCATGCTTGCATTTATAAATAATCAGCTCTATATTCTCCAATTTATGCAATTGTGCTCGACAGATATATCGACACTTGAGGCAGCGGAAAAGAAATGCAGCAACGAGATAGCCATATTAGTCGTAACAACGGAGATAGTGTAGCGATAACGGTAATGGCGTGATGTTCGTGCGCGCAAATGTCTCGACCGATGGCGGAACAGTAACCGCTGTAGTAGTAGTAGTAGTAGTAGTATAGTAGCAGCGGCGGCAATAGTGATAATAAAGTAAACGTTCAACAGTAACGACAAGACTGTTCTTCTTCTTTCGGCGATTTCAACGGAGACGTTGAAGCGTTGTTCTCTTTGTGTGACTTCGGCTGCATTTCCGTATTCGCCGCGATGTAACAACGCAACGTACACATAAATACAAAAAAAAGAAAAAAATAGCGTCTTGTCCTGGGCATCGAGACTGCACGTCTCGCGGAATCGTGAGAGTGTCGTCTCGAAGTGTCGACGATTCCTCCCGGTGATGATATGTACGCACTTTTTGCTCTCAAGATCGTAGATCTCCGCGAGAGACGAAGGAAAAGAAGAGGCGACTAGGTGGCGAAGTTCCATGGCAGTGTAAAGTTTCCTGGTCCTTTCGTTCTCGAAGAATAAGTCTGTCCCCGCTGTCCTCGCGACGAGGAACAACGAAGCCACTCATCGGCAGTGATGTTGTTGCTGGTCGGTTCCTGAAGCAATCGAGAAAGAAACAAATAGACGCCATTAATTCAAGGCTCATTAATAACGTAGGATTTTGCGCCGCGAGAATATAAATCCTATTAGCATAGCCGATTAACATCCGTTCCAGAAAATTATGTCAGCAAAGCGTCTTATCAACTATACTTATATGTCAACTGTAGGAATATTACCATGGCAACACAGCAATAGTCTTTTTGTTTTTTTTTTTACTATTGTTACATACACATATCTTTCAATGCTTTTTTCTGATCGGAGCGCAAATACCAAACTCAGTCATCTCTCCGCTTACGTCACGCGAGCAAGAAAAATTTCGAAGCGTGACGAACGCGTGTTCGCGGAGGGTAACAGACATAATGCGCGAACAATGCACAACGTGAAATAGTTACGCCGAGTGTGACACGAAGAAGAAGAAAAAAATCGAACGGAATATCTTGATCCGAGCGAAGGCCGTCTAGTGCGTTCTAAGGCGGGCAAAAACTGCATAGGTAAACCACGCCCTTGCGAACCGATCGCGTATCCTCAGGGACAGTTCGTCGGCGGGCGAGAAAAGAACATGTGCAGGTATGTAATATTCACGGCACCGATTCCTGCCTACTACACTACAAAAGCTTTCTGCCGCGCTGCCGTTACACCTTCATTCATTAGCATTGTCCGCGCACTTCCTACAGCTTCCTGTATCCAAGACAGAGAGAGAGACAGAGAGAGAGAGAGAGAAAGAAAGATTGAAAACCAGCCACGCGCTCGAAACCGAGGTTACGCCATAAAGGTGCGCAATAATCGTTTCGCGAGAGAGCACGCGATTCAAGTCGCGCTCGCTGCGGCGCGATAAGTGGATTGAAATGTGCGAACGCGCACGTGTATACATAAAACGTACACACCTACAAAGACGTAAACCAGACGATCCGAATGACCCGCTGGCAACGTGTGTATATATTCTGCGCGAGTACATGAGAGACCGACCATCTACTCCATACCCATCGTCACGGGCCGGCTGTGTATATTTGCTAAGCGGATAGGCGCGCGTTTTATTACTAATCGATATGATATATCTTCCCCAGCTGGTTACTACAGGCATAACACGCGCCCGTCGGCCTTCGTGACGATTTTGCCGAGGTCACTTCACTCGCTTGATCCTCTTTTTTTGCTCCTCCCGTCGTTCGCGAGGAGCGAAAGAGAATTCGAGGAACGAAGAGAAGGAACTGTCATGAGTAATCTTGATGCATACGTGTGTGTATCAGCGACAATACAATCAAAAGATTTGGGAAACGAATTCACGCGCGCGCGCACGACTCTCGAACAAAAAAGTCAAACGTGGTGGTTTATTGCGCTGATTTTCAGAAAAAAACAACGTACATGTCAAACGAATTCGCGCGCGTAAGAAGAGAAAATACAGCACGAACACGACGAGCCGAAAGCTTAAAATTTTAATCGCGCGAAAAGCTAAAATTTGTTAATCGAATTTGTTCACAATCATTTGTATTTTTCAAATAATGTATGTGAAGCAGAAGAGAACGCGTTTTTCTCAACCCCTTACTCGGATAAGCGGACAGTCTCCGCCGTTAGTCTCGGAAAAGTAGCTCGAAGACTGTGCGACCGAGTTACCGTCCGCCTCCGGCGTTCGAAGGAGGACGTTAGTCGTCTTGAGCGGACGCGTCGAACCATCGCCGAGGCTAGAAACGGTTATTCGAGAGCGAAGGGTTTCACTTACACTTTCTAACTCGGCCATTTCTGGGCCAAGTTCACAGCCGAAAATGTGTCATGAACCGCCAGTTTGCTCGAGAGAAAGCACTCTCTAAGTAACGTCGACGAGGCCTAGGCCAAGATCGGCCAAAGCGGAGAAAGAAAAAAAAAAAACGAGAGAAGTGCAGGTATATACACCGATCCCTTTCTCTCTCTTGTTCCTTTCTTCGAAGCGTCGCAAGCGCGCACGTACGCGCGTGCACGCGTGCGAGGGAGGGTCCAAGTCGGACGAGAGAGGGACGGAACGAATGGCCACACAGACCTGTGGGTCTGTCGGAAAAAATAAAACTAGGCAGACCAGAGAGTCCGTTAGAGAGTCCGCCTCTTCCCGTGGACTCTCTCTGTCTCTCTTTGCGTTCTCTCTTCTCCAAACGAGGGAGCAAGAGATATAGATATCCACGTGCACGCGCGCATCGTGTGCATGTTGGAAAGATATATAAGAAAGAAAGAGAAAGAGAGAACTTAACCTAAGGCACAAGAGCAGCTCGTGGCTCCGGGCATGGCGCTGCATTTGCCCCTGAACTTGGTTCTCGGACCCAGTCGACGTTGACCTACTTTCGTACGGCTTCACCTCTGGCGTCTCGTCGTGCACCCGACACCGGCTGCTCCGGTAGATTTTCTCGCGTTGCCGAGGCCTAGATCTCTCTGATTGCATTTCGCTGTTCCAGATATACGCGGATGCAGCGCGATCGGTTTACCATATCGCGCGCGCGCGTTATATCTCGAACTCGCGCGGTTCTTACGCCTCCGCGTGCGTGCCTCCTAGGAAGCACACAAGCGAGCAATGAATCTCTCCGAACACGTCGCAATAATAATCGCCTCTAGTTATCCTTGATTGTCGCTCCTACAGAATTTTCCCGACTGAGAAGGATCGAGTCGGCGGGCGGGGGATGCTCGTGCATTCTTGCCTCTGCGTGTGGCGCCGTATCACATCGCAATTGCGGGGGCGTTATCCGTTATCTCCTTGCGCGTTATCCTTGCGTCCGTTCTACTCGCGATAAACGCGACACACAATCGCTTATCTATCGCGCCAGGTTCGCGTCGTGTTAAAACACGCCGGATCGGACGTGGCGGTGCACAAGCGCCACGCGAGATAATCGTTAGTGTTTTATATAACGAGTCATTTCCTGCAAGTCACGTGATTTTCTCGTCAAGGCGATCCGCTCACCATCACCAACGCCGGCGGCACTTCTACCACCATAGAGCACCGCCACACTACGAACGAGCACAATTGTGCTACGAAGAACCTTTATATAGGTCCGCTTGAAATATCCGCGTCGGGAATATCGTCGTGATTGGCCTATTTTCATAGTCATTGGGCATTAGATAGCGGCGTCAATTATCGTTGCCAAGGATCGCGCTCTAATAGTTGAGGAAGTACGCGATGTGATTGCTTGCATTTTCCACAACCTTACATTTCTTAGTCATAGAAAATAAGATCTCACATGACAATTGTGACAAATATTCTATCTTTTTTTTTATCGTCACGTGTAATCAGCAAGATACTCGCAGAGTAATTTTCGATAAGATTCGTTTTATCTTCAAGGTGAAATATTTGTATGACAAAGGTAAAAAAAACTCGGAGTAACTCGACTCTATTATGCGCCGAGAAGAACTCGAGACACATTCTTGTGGATGAACTCACAAGTAGAACGACCGACACACGTGTGTGTCGACCGAAGAAATCGAACAATTCGAGCGACGCTTCTCGTTCGTCTTCAAAAGTTTAAGGCCAATTCCGCGGACTTACATTAGTAAGATTAGTCCTCGTAGGTGTTGCGAGAGACCGATGCATTCCATAGAATGCCGGTAATGGAACGCTAAAGAAGCTGCTGCTGCTGCTCGAGACTCGTGCGCGCCGCGAGAGAACGAGAAGAAGAGAGAGAAGAGGAGAGAGAGAGAAGAGGAGAGAGAGAGAGAGAGAGAGAGAGAGAGAGAGAAGAGAGAGGGAGAGAGGGAGAGAGAAAGAGAAACGAGGAAAAAGAGAGCGGGAGAGAGGAAGACGAAGATAAAGACGCGAGAGTGCACGAGCGTGAAGGAACGAGCGGGATGAGAAAGAGAGAAGACAGAGACGGGGAGAGAAGGAGTCGAGGCAAAGGTGGTCTTACAGCCGTAAATGCCACTGGTTGGCATTATGCCGCTTGCCTGGTCAGACCTTCGATGCATCGAACACATCCTAAGATGCCGCTCGATGATGACTGCCTGGTATAATCGTGATATCGTTTCTTCATGGGACGAACTATCGCGCGCGCGCGCGCGGCGGCGCCGATGTTCTCCGGACGCTCCGAGGGAATTTTGTGTTGCACGAGCCAACGAAGCGACGGCCCTGGCCCATTTACCCTCCGGGCTGAGTCGTTGCACGAGACGCGGACGATATTGGCCTTTCGAAAATTCTTTTCGCGCTCGAATGGACGACGGCGAAAGGGCTGACAAATGCGCGCGTGCACACGTTCTCGCTCGAGAAAGGTCGGCGGTTATCGAAGAACGGGAAGATTCCTTTATCGCGTGAATAGCGCACTTGGGAATCGAACGAGGATGGCTGTGACGCGTCGCGAACACGCGGGAATCAACGACGCGAACGAACGACGATGAGACAACATCGAGAAGAGATAAAATCGACCATCGTTGCGTCGCGCGCTGGCAATAACATTTTCTTCAATCGTCGTCGTGGATCGTCACCATCATCGACGATCGGTGGAAGGACGACGCTGTTAATCGGCTTGGTAGCGATCACGATAGTGCTATATGCCGCGAGAGAGAGAGAGAGAGAGAGAGAGAGAGAAACAAGCAGAGAACAATAGATTTGGAGATTGAACGCAGTGAACTGCAAGATAACTACGAGGAATTTAAGGAATGTCGAATTAAACCTTGGCGTCTGGTTCGCTGCGTAATAGGACAGCTTGATCGCGTGTTATTCGAATCAACTATATACAACTATAAACGGCGTAGTTCGTACACTCAGGTACATTAATGATGTTCGATACGCTTTTTCAAAAATATCTTGTCACGCGACCCGTCGATTCTTTCTGTTTCCTCGCGCGTGCGAAGCAGGTGATTCACAAAATCAATTATACAACCCATAAAAAGCGGTCTATTGAATTAGTTACATCCGTTGAATGCGAACGTACGGAACATCGATTAATGTATGCGACTGTACTAGACTCCCATAGGAGTAGACGAGTCCGAACAAGTAGATACGAGGTGAACGAACCTCCAAAAATCTTCTGGACACGGGGAAAAAAAGAAGAAGAACTGTTGAAAAAAGAAGCGACCACAACGGGAGAAGTTGGAGTAAGAAATAAAGGGGAGAAGGAGGAAGAAGAGGAAGAAGAGGAAGACATGACGGAAGATGAGAAGAGGAGGTGGCGGTGTAGGAGAAAAAGAACGATCGTGGATGCTCGCTATAGAAAGAGATAGGGAGGTTTGAAAGGGGGACAGCCGGTGTCTACGATCGTAATGCCCGGCGCGATCTCCTCTCGTAGAAACGCATCTTTATGTATTATCCTTCGTCGTAGCTCGGGATATTCTCGCTAAACTATGATATTGCGCGCTCGTTCGGTGCAATTGAACGAGACTATCGTGACTTAACGATCCCGCGGCGATGTTAATTGTAACCGAGTCAGTTTATCCCATTATTGCAGCAGTTTATGCGCACGACGTTTAAGCCGTTCAATGTCGATCGTTAGTAAATGACAGTATTCGACGGCCATCGGCATTTCTCACACGCGACAATGTTACCGGACGACCACGTGTCGGACACGTGCGACGATAATTCTCGAAGGGTTGCATTATTCAAGGGATGCGACGCGGTCTGTGGAAGAGAATCGGTGCAAAATCAAACGCGCGCGATCACTAAATTATTACATATTTACACAATAAATATTCCATGTGTAAATATATACGTATAAGTACATCAACAAATGAGAAAATTGTTTTCAAATTTAACTTCGTGTTTGTTTTATTTTGTACTGCGATAAACACACGAAATAAATCATACGTCTCTTAAATGCGCGCACGCGATCTCGCCGGAAACTTAATCAGCCATTTCGAAATGAAAATGAAAAACACGTAAGAAATAACGAAGAAGGACGGAGATATTTAATATCACTGATCACTCGTCGAATAAAGCGTTCTTTGATTTTTTTCGTTCTGCGCGTCGAGGCGAGTTCACGTGCGCGTACGTGGGCCGAGAGTGCCACCTTCGCGTGTCCGAAACCAACGTCCTGACGAATTCAAATAACGATGCCAACCGCGCATTGTTATTCGAGGTGCGTTGCCCGCGCAGATGTCTGCCTGCCAAAATCCACGAGCGACGTCTGCCTATGCTGGGTTCGATAGCCATCACGCGGCGCCTCGTTCTAAAACCACCACGATCGATGCGTCACGATCGCGGAACGAGGGGTCCAATTCGATACGCCTATTACGGCGGGGAAACGAGGGGGAAAGCTTGAAGGGAGAAAGAGAGATATGGACGATAGTGTGCCGCGACACACGAGAGAAGAAAACCGCGAGCGTTCGAGCAAGAGAGAAATGAAAGAATGTGTGAGCACATATGCAAGAGCAAGAGAGAGACGATTGGCATGCAGGTCGCGCGGTATGTTGTCCTAGGTCACGCGTGATATCTCTCTCTCTCTCTCTCTCTCTCTTTTCTCCCACCTTCCCTCCTCCTTCTGTCATTCTATCCCCTTCCCATCGTCTTCTTTTGCTTCTCTCCCCGCCTGTCAAGGTATTTCTGTGCTGTGGCAGCAGCGGCACTCGCACATCTTCGCAACTTCTATTTGCCTATTATTCTGGTAATAAGATCGTACGGCGAGGCAAACATTACGACGGCGGATAAACGGAAGCGGTTCGAAATTACAACCGGCGACGGCGCCTCCGGTGTACGTTGCGCTAAGTAAAGGGGAACGGAGGTTGTGTTCTTCTCCCGGGATGCGCGCGATGCTATTGTGCTACGAGTACCACGAGAGTAGCGCCGATTGTCTCAAGTTCGCGCACGGTTAGAGGCATTCGCGCTGATACCTGATAGTATAAGAAAGAGCGCGAAAGAAAAAAAGAAATATTCTTGAAATAATAAATATTTGTCATGCGTGTGTGTTGATGCTCTTTTCAGGAAGTAATTTATGCTTGAATTATACGTGAATAATCGCTAATTAAGAAAATAAATATAAGACTAAAATGTTTCTTTAAAAAAAATTGATTTCGGAAACATATCGCGCGCGCCGTGCAAATATTCGTCGAGTAATCACGGCAAATTGCCGCACTGCTCTCGTATACTTTGCGCGCCCGAGCTAACGAACGGTTTGGGACGCACCCGGAAGAGGTTTAGTGTTCTGCGTACGACCGTGCGCAGAAGAAAATCTCGAGGAATCTACCTCCCGTGAGTTCGATCGAGTGTTGTTTTTCCGCGACCGGTTCAGAAATCTAGCGGAAATCGATCGGGACGCAAACGGCGCGCGACACGCAGACATGACGAATCGCACGTCGTCGTTGGCCCGTTTCCGCGAAAACCTAGGGGATCCCTCGAAACGGTCATCGAGGAGGAAGAGGCACACGGTGGCCAACCGAGCGGACTTGACTGAGCGGACGGACGAGCGAAAGAACGATCGCTTATTCCTGACGAGGATGGCGCGATCAGCGGTGTGCGCGCGCGAGCGGGACGGTGAATGCCCAAAATGCTCAGGTGGTGTCAATGAACTCGGCCATGTGAGGAGTCGGCTGAGACCTCCTCCTCGGCTATATACCCACTATATCGGGGTCTTGTCTTTCCCATGGGACCGAGACTAATTTCGTGACTTTGCGAAAGCGACGCGATGCACAAACGCCAGTCGATAACACACGAAGCGCGACAGATTGCGTGGATTTTCTAGAATAGCTTTTCCGAAGACGTCTAGTTGCGCTTGTAATTATTATCGTCGATGTTCGTCGACGAAGAGCGAACGCGCCGTAACTTATTCGCATCACAATTATTCACGATGTGTTTGCGATGTTATCTTTTCATCGCGATTAGATATCGTCAAGTAACGTCGTTAAATATCAAAAACAAGATCGTAAAAGTTTCTTAAACTTCTTCTATTTGTTGAGAAGTGAATCTTATTTCAAAATTCAATCGGCGTATTTTATTTGATGAAGAAACGAGATACGTGATCGTGGGTTTAAGATAGCAGATATTTTTGTGTGACTGGCTCTAGCAAGTTGTTGGTACGTGCTGTTTCCAAAAATTACAAAGAAACACCTGTGGAACGTTGGGTTAAACAGTCGCGATCGGTAAAAACGTGCGATGCTACAGCACGTCTAATTGCACACCGGAACATATTCGGGGCTACGTGCCGCAAGTTCTGCCGAGGTGAATGGTCTAGACTGACTCCCGGAGGGGCACTTGCTTGAAACCGCGACAGGAAAACCGGGTAGAGAGGATAAGACACGTATCTATGCGAGAGCCCGAGATCGGTCCCCTCCTTCTTCCTCTCCCTCTTTCTCCAGCCTTGTTCTCTAATGTTGAACTTGACGTCAGTCAAAATTAGACAACCGGTAGCACTTCAGGATCCAAGGGGACTCTACATCTCGTAGATCTCGATCGGATCGCGGTAACCAATGGGTTCGCGGTGTTAGGTGCCGATAGGATGACGTGACGTAATGTTAAGGAATCAGACAGTCCCTCCTCTCTGCAAAGTCTCCTCCCGTCCTTCCACCCCGCAGAGCGTTCCTTTTAACCGTCTCCCTCTCCACCTTTTGGATCGTCGGTCATGCGCGGGTCAGCGAATCTTCGAAGAGGTCTTCCTCCCTTCTTTTGCAACCTCGGCGCGACCACGGTTACGTCGCGAGACGGCAAGAGGAGAGAAGAAGCCGTATCGGAGCGAGAAGGAGAGCGGAGACTTCAACAAGAAGTGGGAGAGGGTTGACCGCCGAAAGAGTAGCTCGCGAGTAGTCGCGGCCCGATCATGAGCACGGGCGAATCACTACTATAGATTACGTAAGTGCCACAGCGATCACGTGCGAGAATAGACAAGAAGCTACGCTGTCGTAATCGAGTCCGACAATGTTGCTGCTGCTCCTACGGTAAAAAAATTCCGAGAAGAGACGCAGAATGATATGTCCACCAAAAAAAAAAAACCTTGTGCGATAATAATCTTCCTTTCCAAGTTGAATTAATTAGTCCGTAGTATGTTTATAAAACAAAATAAAAACTAAACAAACTCACCATGTATAGGCAGATTCGGCATTTTCATTGGCGTTCCATGTTAATGGAAAACCTCCGATGTCGTCCTTTGCGAATATGGATGCTCCATCGTAGTCTCCTAAGATTGGTGGAGGAGATCTCCTCTCTCCCTCTCACTTCGTCCATCATCGACACCATCGAGCTACAAAGATGTTGCTGCTTCCTCCAAGTTGCGGAGGACTTTGATGTTTCAGTACTGTCCGGTCGGATCGAGACCTCCAATAGCAGCCATATCGCGACCTTGAAGTATCTTCTCACGTGCGCGTAACTTCTTTCTCTCTTCCGGAAAATTCCTCGACTTCTTTTCGTCCTCTTCTTAATATTGACCGGTCGGATCGAGTCCAGCCATTGTTGTTGCACAAGTTTAATCAAATATCAATCGAATGTCACCTTCAGAGATACGAAAATACGAGTAGAAACGCAGATTATATATTGATATTTATATATTGATGTAATTATCGTCACTTCAATATAGACCAGTGGGGTCCAATCCTTCTAATGCCATGTCGACGGTATTGATCTCTGAACAACACTAAAAGCGGAAGTGTGTTGTTGCTCGATCGTGGATAAATTACCGTCTTTCTTTTTAGTAGAGACCAGTAGGATCCAATTGACAAGCCATATCTCGGTTCCTCTCCTCCTCTTCGAAAACTATCGGAGCGTTGCAGCACACTTCTGACACTTAGAGTATTTTGAAACGGCTGATCTTTTCCAAGCACGTCTTGAAATATCGGAAATATATCGACAAAAAAAAAACAATTTCGTCAAATGTACAGTCGGGTACGCGAGCGGAACTGAATTAATTTCAAATGCAGCGGGATTGATCGGAAAAACAATGGCGAGCGCGAGCGTAAGATGCCGCACGATTCGTAAGACGACAATCGACGATAGGCGGTCGATGCTACCGGAAAAACTGTGAAGGGACCGGCTGCTGTATGCGTGACCGTGTCCCACAGAGCTCTGACAGCTCTACAGCGAGTGGCCTCGCTTAAGTCTCGACTGCCCCCCACCTGTCCGACTGAAGACGACGCCGATTGGCCATCGCTGCCGGCTACAGCGGCAATTGGCACTCGGATCGAGCTTTCGGAAAATTTCCCCCGATATATCGTTCGGTTTACAGGCCCAACCCCCACAGGGTCCGTATGGGGCCTCACGTGGGGAAAAGTGGGATTTGCCGGATCCACGAAGAAGGGAGAAGCTCGAAAGAGAGGAGATACAATGTCGACAGATCCAGAAGAATTTTTCGGATGTACATTAGTTGCCAGTGATCAGTATTGATTACCAGCTGGACATGAATCTATCGAAATATTTTCGAAGATGCAAATATTCATGTACAAAATTTATTCAAGAGAACAATTGAACAATAATTCATGATCCAAATGATCTTTTTATAAGTAGGTCGGGGAAGAGTTAATCAAAAATAACAATAAGATACACATTAATATAGAGTATTACATAAAATTTCAATAAAATAGTTTAATGTAATCATTAAAAGCAATATATTACGAAAATATGTCAAACAAAATTTCGTTTATGTTGCCCTAGCCTTAGAATAAAGAGAATCTTGTGCTTCCGCAGCGAGTATCTACGACGTTTTTTTATTCTTCTTATACGAATACGACCGGTTTGTCGAAACAACCTATTCGTGTATACTATACATATATAGGTTCTGTAGTCTATAAATTTCATGCATAGTAAATTAGTAGGTACTCAACCGAGTCTTCGAATTTACAAATATTTCTCAAGTCTGTGCAACATCAAAATCTTATCTAACGTAAAAACTAAGCGCAAAGGTTTATTTATATCTCATATAACTTCACATTACATACAACTTATTAAAAATAATTTATACTTGTCGCAAGTGAAATAAATACGCGTTGTTGTTAATATTACTAAACATAGCATCTAGAGAGGACCAATCAAGACCGTATATCTCTCGATACATCATCCTTGATGAGCGCTTTCCGCAAAACACGTAACGTCTTGTTAGATTGGAATTTCATTTTTCAACGACATGCATTTTTTTCACGTCCGCGATTTATTTTATCTAAATGCGGTCTAAAAAGTGGGGAAATTAAAGATTTCATCCGCGGATTGCTGATTTAATAGCAACTGGTTTCCGGCGCATTGGTCGCGAGACGCAAAATCGCGCGCGTGCAACACGCGCCGCAATATACAGAAACGAAGGGGACACATTTCTAACGGAATGAGAAGACGCGCGCCAACATCTGATCGTCCGATTCAAATTAAAGCACAGTCCGGCCTGTTACAGGCCGGAGTAAGATACCCAGATACGTCGCGCGGCGCGGTGTGCTTGTGCAGATTGTAGTTTGTCGTCCGTATAGTTGCTCGCGGCTACGACTTCGTGTTACTGGGATAAAAGGTGAATGACTCGTTGCTACTTGGTACTCATCCCACCAGCAGCATCCCGCTTCTTCGTTTGGAGGGGTGGCGCGTCCTTCTGCTACATGCCCGAGCGCGATAGAGATGAGTGACGGAACGGGAAGGAAGGAGAGACCAAAGGCGCATTGCGAGAAGAAGCTCAGATGAGAGAAGGATCGGGAAAGAAAGAGATAAAAACAATACGATGATCATAAATTACTTGATAAAATAGGATGCTCGAACAAATCCGAGCCAAAACACAAGATGTTTGTGTGAATGATTTTTTATTTAATTTCAAAAAAATTACAGATGTTTCGATTCCTTCGTTCAGATCTTCGTCAGTATACGAGCCACAATTTATAATGTAAGAGACATACAGCACACGCAAACATTACCATAGCTTTCAAAAAAATAATAAAATGGATCTCACCAAGGTTAATGTAAGAAATAACAAAATAATTCAGACTAGATTTCGGTTCAATCTAATTTAGATTATTTTGTTATTCCTTACATCAATAAGTTTTCGCGAACTGTGTCTGCGAGATTCGGAGAAAAGAGATACGCGTTTGATTTATGGAAGCTTGAATAGATTAAGCAAATACATCAATGTTCTAAAAGATCCTTTGGATCATGATCAAAACAAGAATGTAGCTTATCAAGATTGTAGGAATTGTAACGTTACATATGTGAGACAAATAAAAAAGAAATTAAAACTGTTACGGAGCATAGAAATCAGATTAATAAAAATACTGTGATAATATTTTTCGGTTGTTACTGAATACTGAACACAAATTGAATACATGACTTCAACTGACAAAATGCGAAAATTCTGGATACTATTTTTATTTCAAAAGATCGATTTTTGAAATACTCTATAATGAAAAACTTAGACTATATTTTCTTTTATTGAAAAAATTTAAACATAATAATCGTTGCATCGAAAACCTACTTTTGTTTACATATCTTTGCGCAACTTGACAGTGGAACCTTGTGGGGAGAAGGAGGAAAGGGGGGAGGAATTGTTTTATATGTTAGCTCGTGAAAAATTTGATCAGTACAATTTGTAAACTCGCGGCGTGTGTTTTACTGTCCTCGGTTGTTTGCCGGGAAGTAGTGAGATAATGCTTCACACTATGTGAGTGGTCTGTGGGCTTTCTTATATAATGTTTATATTATACAATTTTGGTAAGATCCATTTTATTTATTTATTTGAAAGTGTTATGTCAAGAATCACTTATACGAACATCTTGCGTTTTGGTTCGAATTTGCCTAAACGTCTTATTTTATCTTTTCACAAACTCATTCAATTGACAAATTATTCTCAAGGTTCGATTTATTTGCGGCCGCGTATGCACCTCCTCGTTGCATCTTCGCGACGTCACATTCGAGAAGAAATGTAGATTCTTGAAGCGCCGCGCCACTTGCGCGCACTTCTCACTTCCTCCTGCGATTAGTTTTCGATCGATCGTGCGGTCGAATATCAATTAACGTTACGTCGGGTATTAAGAAATGAAATAATAGCCACAGAGATTAAGAAAACCGCGCTTTCTTGCATCGTCAATATTCGCACGCGCGAAGATGCGTTTCGCGCGTCAGATCGTCCAATTTATGCTTTCGGGCAATTTCGATTCACCGCGCGTCTTTTGATGTGAACTTCTTCTTAAACGTACAACATCCATAAATTCAGATAAATTCAATCGAGTCGTTTGATATCTCGTTCGAGAACTCAACTATCATTTGACTTTAGTTAAAAGCGTTTAAGCTTGTTGTCTTAGTAATTAAACAGCTTATTCGCTTTACTTGCAAATGGCAAATATCTGCTTGAAACATTCTGTCCACGCTCTTATCGGTGATCGTAAATTTTCTCTTTATATATTTTAGTGCTTAATTAAATGTACATACACTAGTTAATCCGCGATAAATGATTAGTTTTTTTTTTATGAAAATGGTTAGGTTTTCAAGTTTTTTTTTTTTCAAAGTTCGAAGAATGTGACCAAACTACTTAGCATGTAAAAAATGAAATAAATCTTTGAATTCTCACAGTTTTCGAACAGTTTCAAATTATATTTAGCCGGTTTTGTCCGAGATCGATTTAATTACTTCCTCTTTTATCTCTTTATCTCGCCACATATAAAGTAACGAAATTAATTGGTAACAGGCTGAAAGTTTATAAACATAAATTGGTTTTTACTTCGGTGAAATGTGGCGCGTGTTTGCAGCATCCGGCAATTTTCTTTCACAGAATAAACCAGTCTCTCACACAGTTTAATCAGGAAATGCGTCACCTTATCAGCGCGCTGCGGTAAAGCCATCTCGACTGTCGTAGTTAAGGAACGGCGATCTTAATCGGGCATAGAGCTAAAGACGACCCTAGGTCGTCGAAGGACTCAGAAGTTCCAGACGCGCGTGGTATCATCGCGACGACGCTCAGTCGACGCTCGAGTTGCTCCACTAGCGAGCTGGGAAAAAGTGAAAGACACTATGAGAGGAGGATGTGAAAGAAACAGGGCAAAGAATCGGAGGGAAGGGCGACGCCGGGAAAGGGAGGGAGAGAGAGAGATCGAGAGCGAGAGGGAACGAGGAAGAGGAGACGACGCGAAAGAGGGTGACGTTGGTGGAAAAGGTGCGAAGGCGAGGGAGGACAAGAGGAATCGAGGATAGAGAGAGAAAGAGAGAAAAAGAGACAAGGTAGGGAATATACATAAAGAGGGAGGCGGACGAATAGAGGGAGAGAGGAACCAGAAAGGACGGAGAACACCAGGTAAGAGCGCAAGCGAGTAGTCGAGAAGAAGACGAGAGAAGAAGTGAGAGAAGCAGAGATGCTCGCTCGAGTTGTCGAGGCGATTGTGCCGATGTGCGTGGCAAAGTTTTGCGCCGGGCTCTCCCTGACCTAACCACTCCGCCTCTCGCGACTCGAGTTGACTTCACGGTCTTGCGACTAGACGACTATTTTCTAAGGACTGTGTGTCTCTCCCACAATGACATAATATTTACATCGTAAATCGCGGACGACACGTCGTCACGTTCGGTGATTTCGCTCGGATTCACCGAAAAGAACGGCCTCGAAAGAGAGCAAAGAACTTCCTCAAAAATTCGAGGAATCTTTTTAACATTAGTGTGACTCTCGAAATCTGCTTACCTCGTACGCACGCGCAATATACGCACGTTTGTAATCGTGCGTTAATTCTCGCGCCCTCGAGGGCGTCTCACAAGAGAAGACAAGTTGCATGTTTACGTATTACCGGCGACGCGCCTTCTCGTCGTCGCTCTCTGCTCCGTTTCATTCCCGCCTCGGTTAAAACTCCCGCGAGAGAACTCGCCGCTCTCAGCGCGATGCAATGCGCAGCCTCTAGGTCGGCCGTTCACCCTGTCCCGAGACGATCTGCCAAGACTCGCGTTCGCGAATGCTGATCCGACCGCGAATTTCGTTCGTTGATACCGCACGCGATTTCGTTTTCAGAAATCGTCATGTTTTCGCGCTCTTATATAATATCTATATCGTATTTTTCGAGCAATGTGTAAATTAATTAAATTTTATACAAAATTAAAAACACTGAGTATCATACAGTTTTGTAAAAAAAAACTGTTAA